AAAATTCAAGCAAAATTTTCGACCGGGTATTTTTGCTGAAAATATTTAACGAAAGAATCGATGTCTTTATGAGTGATCTATTTTTAGTCAAGGTCACCGTTTATCAGAACATTACATCAGTCAGATGTTTATATTTGTGTTGGGAAGGAAGGGAAAACAGGCGTTGCGCTGACGCAACGTCAGCAGGAAACGGGTAGTCAATCTCCTTTTTCACTCATTCCTTTCGATGTTCTGGTTGTATAAAAATGCCTAGTACGAGGTATCTTACATTAGAAGAAGCCCTTCAAAGAATTTTTGATGAAGAAACAGATGATGATAATGTTAATGATGACCAGAATGAAACTGATATTGTTGTTGTTTCCCCAGAAATTGCAGAGGCTAGTGACGAAGAAGAAAGGAATGGCAATGTTTTAAATAATGATAATGATATTTTACCAAATGATACTGCTAGGGAAGTTGAAATTCACGTAAAATGTAAGTTTCAGCCTTCTAAAAGCACTTATAGTCATACTAAAAAGTTTAAAAAGCAGAAGACTGAAATCTTGAAGTGGATAAAAAAGGAACTGTTAGTTATGTCTCAGGAAGAACATGAAGAAAGAGATAGAAGAGATATTATAAAAGACGAAACACAAGGTAAAACTAGTGCACGGATTTTCGATTTTCTTTCTGGTTTAGACATTTACTCTCTTCTCGTTGAACAGACAAATATATACGCTCAGGGAAAAAAATGCCCAGAATTTATTGCATCTGAAGCCTATATGAGAAGATTTATTGGAATATTATTGCTTACAGGAGATCATTCTTTACCTCAAGAAAAAATGTATTGGTCTTTTGATAAGCACATTTCTGTTCCTGTTGTACGAGAATTGATATCACGTTTGCAGTACAGGAATATGAAGCAGAATTTGCATTTGACAAATAGTCAAATTGACAATACTGATAAATTATATGAGGTGAGACCGTATCTAAACTTACTAAATATCACCACTTTTTACTACTGTAAATATAAAGTCTGTTTTAGATTTCAGACGCGAGAATGCATTATTCCTTTTGCAAACTCCTATTGAGAGTGTAGAATTAGCCAGAAATATATCAGCAACAGGAAGACCTAGTAGACCATTCAAAAACCATTGCATGGAGATGGTAGACATTTTATCGTAAAGTCCGTTGATAACAAAATTACTTTGTTGTAAAGAATACCATAGCCAGACTGTTTGTAGATGCAAAGTATGTAATGTAGCTTTACATCATGGTTGTAATCAAGCATTTCTTGCTTGAATCTTTCAAATGAAATAATCTGTATTTGTAAAAGAAATACAATGTCTATTTTAATATTAAATTAATTACAAGTAAAGTGATTTTTAGATTTATAAAACGTTATACAGCTAAAAAGTAATCCTGCGCTCCACTCAAAAGAAACATCACACGAGTACAATCCTACTCACTAAACATCCGTAGTCTTATTCCGCTGACGTTGCGCGAACGTTACACCCGCTTTTTCCACAGGTAAGAGCATTTTTTTTTTTTTTTTTTTTTTTTTTTTTTTTTTTTATTTTCAATGTAAATTTATGTTATAAATGCTTAATTTAATATTTGTTATTATTTTCATGAGAAGAGAAACATTCCTTGTAGTTTTGCGGTTAATGGGTTAAAGCTTTTCAAGATTCTCTTGTTGATAATTCACTCCAAATATGTTTTTGATACTAGTTTATGCAACTCTCCCACCCCCAAAAAGAAAAATCACTCTAAATTTTTTATAGGTTTTGAAATTTTTACTGTGTATACTTTCAAGAGATTCATTAGTGTTTCTTTATGCGCAGGGATCAATGATTTTAATTAACAAAACCATAAACTAGTTTTCAGGAGCCTAATGCCGTACATGGGGATGTCGAAACATATATGCTTTTTTTTCGTCTGCATTCGAGGTTTTTCCTAAGCAAAATTCCCAAGAAAGCAATATTCATGCAACAAAAATGTGATGCATGAATATCGGTTCAGCTACTGCTATATTTTACACAATCAACTCCATTATTAATGGGGATAAAAGTCTATAATATGTGATCTGTGTACAATTAAAATGTGAGCAAAAAATACAAAAAACAAACGCACACAACACGGTATCACAGGCATTTTTCGTTTATGTTTTATATTTTTATGGCTTACCCAAGGCAGGATCCTGGTCTCTGCCGTGTCCTGGTGAGCTGCTAAATACTAGGTAATGAAGATAGTTCCGGATACATTTTAAAGATTGTTTGTTGATTAATCCATTCTAAACTTTGCTCCACAATGATCCTTCGAGATCCACCACCATACACTCCTTCCTGTTATTCCAGGTACCGAAAAGCAGGATTTCTTATCTCCAAATGTAATTTCACAGCTTGTGTAACAGCATCCAACAACTCCCATACGACGAGCGGAGACGAAAAGTCAAGCATACTCCAGAAGAAAAAGAAGCAGGACTGTATCATTATATGAAGCGTATAATAACAGGAGCCATTTCTAGCAGTAGACATCCAGCAGAACCAAAATTAGTCAGGCAAGAGGCCCAGCAGCATGAAAATGAAAAAATTCACAAAATTAACAGTGCTGGAATTGTCTTGCGGAATGCGATGTTACCGAAAAGCCACGACATTCACAGATTCCCGCTATTTATAAGTTCGTACAGTTAAACTAACAGTTAATCATCTCAGCCAATGAAAGTATTCCACAGCGAAAACAACCAATCTTAATATTTCTCTCGTTTAACAGACAAATTGAAATGAAATGATTTCTTGCCTCATGAAGTTGCTTAGTCATGTTAGAACAAACCTGTTGACGAGAAACATATCAAACGAAACAGATGAAAATCCCATATATGTTGTTAGATGATTGTAATAATTCCAAAGGTTTAAATTTAATGTGACTTTCTAACACATGGGGACAGTGAAAACAGATGAAGCCACAGTATTTGGAAGTTGTTTTAATGCACGTAATTCATGTAAATAAATTGTATTTAATCAGTAATTAAGTTTTAATTAATTTTAAAATGCGCATTTGCATTCAATGGCATTCACATTCTCCTATAAATATTATTTTAATTCCATTTACAACTCAAATTCTTCATTTCAAATTAGGGTTATTCATGTGCTATATGCAGTGTATTCTTTTTGTTTTGAAACTGATTTAATTAGCCTAACTTAATTAAATTTTTCTTGAGATCAAACTGCCTACAATGCTATTAACAGCATTTTTCTTCCTGTTATAATATGGATTGTTTCCTCTTCCTCTCTGAACTCTAATTTTGAAGAGAAATATAAAAAAAGGCTATCTAAACATTTTATAGCCAGTTTCCTGAACGCTCACTGAAAATTCTGAATTTCAACGGTATTTGTACGAAACTTTTAAATTCTAGTAATTTAGAATTATTGAAGACTGAAAGGACTTACAAAAAAAAAAAAAAAACATCAAAATAATTCCTATAGAAATGTTTTGGGATTTTTTTTTTGGTACATTAGTCTTACGAATGCAATCTATGAGTTATCTTATTCTCGCTGTCAAAAATTAATTTCCGTTTCTCTTATATGAAACAAAAGTGAATAGACTATAAATGAAATTTTTGTGGTTTTTTTAAAGTTGTTTTAAATTTAAGAGTCATTAATGTAATCTTTAATGTTAGCTATTGTCTTATATTAGATCTTAAGCGACCCTGACGATGAGATGTTAGTATATTCTGAATAGCTCTCAGAAAATAATTCCTCTTTCTTGTTAAAGATCCTTTTTTTTTTTTTTTTTTTTTTTTTTTATTTAATTTTATTTTTTTTTTTTTTTATTTTTAAATAAAAGTTGGTAGATCTTGATCTAGAAGAAGTAGATATTTAAAGACAGTAGTGTATATGTATATATCTCAGATCTGATGATCATGAATTATTCCATTACCTTTTGTACTTCTTTAATGAAAGTTATTTAACCATTTCGGAAACTGTCCCAAGGAACTCATGCAGAAGCTTTAAGTTTCGAACTGAAGATAATAATGATCAATTAAAAAAGAGAAACTTTGGATAATTTAATTTTCATATTAAAATATACTTAATCCTTTGAAGACCAAAACGCCCGAGTCGGTCTTTCATTCATACGACCACAACCGCCCGGAACGGCCGAGTTTGCGATGTTGTTTTCTTCCCTTTCCCAAATCCATTGTATTCCGAAATCCATTGTATCATTTTATTGCAGACTGTTTGTCGTAAAATGCTAATGGAAGCTTCTTTGTTAGGAAGTAGAAAGGGTGTCATTTGAAATCTTCACACGTCTTTGTGCGTTAATAGAAAGGAAGGGGCGGAAACGCACAGGACGGGTGATGGATGGGGACGGTCGTTTCGGTTAGCAAAGGCTTCGGTTTTCTAAGGATCAATCGTTCCAAAATGAAATGTAAGCTTTAAAATAAAAGATTTGACGAATTCTGAAGAACAGCAAGTCCAGGCAGTGAGGATTTTATATACTTATTACATGTCTACAGATAAATTTGAAGTATTAATTTTAATATATAATTATTTCTGCATTTAATTTCGCATATTCCCTTTTAATTTTGTTAATTTTCAACATTTGAAAAGGATAATTTAGAAAATATTGCCAAAATTTTTTTAGTGACGTCGTTTAATTACAACTAAAATGCCTGAAATTAATTATAAAATTAGCATAAAGTTAAGAGATAGCTTCCTTTTTATACAAACTACTGTAATTCCATTTAGAAAAGAATAATTAATCACGACTTCTGGTATTATGGTCGCTTCTCTTTATCAACAAAAATCTACCATTTTATTTACAGAAAGAGATGAATAAATCTTGTTAATATTTGTTACGCGCAACAAATTAATATTTGTAAAATAGTTCATGTATTTCTCTTATCAATAGATTTATCTGAATTAAATCTTCTCTGAAATATGTTAGTTTGTTGACTGGACATTTTTCTTGACATAAATACTATTTATGCGTATTAAAAGTTATATTTCGAATATTTGTTTTAGTTCCTCCGAGATGGATTCTTGAACCACGAGACACTTCTGCGATTGCTGGAAGACCGGCAAGAATTGATTGCCAAGCAGACGGAGTGCCCCAACCTCATGTACGATGGAAAATGTCAACAAGTAAGTAAACACATTACATTCTTTAAAGAGAAAATAGTGACATTAATTTAATACTATTTGCAAATGATAGTTTATGTGAGAATTCATATTACAGTAAAAATGAGCTAAGCAAGATAATGCTTACCGTTACTCCTTGTCATCTAAAACTTCAAATTTTGCTTTGATATAGACACAAGGAGAAGTGACTAGTATGGACACTGCAAGATATCGAATCAAAAGATATTGAAGATTCGTATTACAAACACTTGAGAGTAATTTAAAACAAAAACGTAGATTTCAAATTGTGCACTTCACACATCTGTTGTGTAGACTGAAGAAAATTAACGTCAGCAAATTTATTATCGATATCAAGGGCAAATTTGTGCAGAAATCTGTAACATTTAAGTTTAATTTCAGTTTTCCTTAATGTTGTGATACGTTCTCAGTCGGTGATGTTTGTAGTGTATGACAACTCTGGTTTATTGAAAGAGCAATTTTTATGGTTTATTCCCAGCAATTAGTCAACAAAGCCTCAGATATTGGGCTTTCATTGAGGAGGGTATCTTGTTTTCATCTGTGATTGCTGTGCATATGAAATTGAATCAGTTTTCGGAACAAAATAAAAATTTTTATCTTATACAAAGAATTTATTTCCACAGACGAAACCAAAATCAATGATATATACAACGAGAAGCCCTTACAAAAAATCGCAAATAAAATCAATGAAATCAAAAAATGATTTACAAACAAAATCAAGGAGTAATGCAACAGAAACCAAACACATTGCAGCTCCATTACAAAGTCCTTGGATTTAAACAGTTCAGTTTGTGAAAACTTTCAGAAGAGGAGATTTTATTTCACGATTTCATATTTTTTAACCCAAAGAAGCGTTAGGACAGAAGGGCTATTAGTCTCCAAACGGGATTTTGCGTTGGTTCAGTACAGAAGTCTCAATCACTTTTCAAATTTTTGTCACCAAATATTAGCGCTCTATATTATATTTAAAGAAATTAAATAAGGAAGGATTTGCATGAAAGTATGCATGTTCTCGTACTGTGGAAAAGTAACGAAACCTAGAGACATCAAATTTTGAATAATGTAATCCTCCACCCGAATATGGACAGGTAGAATCCTGAATTTTGAATTGTTTCATTGTGTATTTCAAATTCTGTAAAACTTTGCGAATTCTCAATTAACAAAATCCATGATTTCAAAGTAGCAATAGCAATACTGTAGGAGGAGAAATATTTTTATCTCCAGAGCGCTGCACTGTCTATCAGAAATTCTAAAGATATGCTGCTTATAAATATTTTATTTTGTACTTCAGATTTTGTAAAAATTTTAGCGAATTTTTGCTTAAAAAAGTCAACGATTTCAAAGCGAGCAATGGCTACACTGTACGTAAAAAAAAAAAAAAAAAAAAATCCTTTAGCACGCTATCGGAAATTCTAATGATAGGGTATTTTTAAATATATTTAGCCCAAAGGAACATTAGCCCAAATGCTCTCAAAACGTGTATGTGTATGCTCAAGGGAAAAAAGCACTTTGTGCGTAATGTAAAATCTGAAAGCTTTCATTTTTTTTTTTTTTTTTTTTTTTTTTTTTTTTTTTTTCTGTGTGTGTGTGTTAGTCTTTTTTTCTCTTTTCTGCACAATATCCTTCCTTTTTTCTTTAAATAGGTATTGAGACTAATACTGAGAATTACAAAAAGCAATTCAAATTACTTTTTCTAGTGGCATTCGGGTACAGTTTTATTTCTTTTCCCTGTCTGGAAAGAAAAAAATTCGGCATAGCACTGACTATCCGGTTGACGTTTTAGATAGCTGGAAAAATGCAATATAATAATGCACAAAGAATTACAATTATCATTATTTTCGTTTATGAGAAAACATTTAACATTTATGAGAATCTTGAGAAACTGGAATAGGAGAACTAACATGAGAATAATGCTGTTTTTAAGAGAATTGTTTATTCTTGCAGAGTTAATATTACCTGCTTTCTTAGCAACTGAAAATTAAAAAAAAACTATATTTGATTACATTCGAGACTAAGTTTAGTCAGTATTTTCTTAATGAAGATGACTTGAATTTCTTGACCACCTCAGGTCCAAACCCATCTCAGATATCCCAAACCGTCTCAGACATTATTAGCAGAAGAAGGTTTTGCTAATCGCCAAGACAAATTTACGAAGCTAAAATTTGATTCGTGAGTGAGATATATGTTCGTAAGATACATTCATTCTCAGAGCTTAGGTTTAAATGGTAGAATTTCAATCCCAATTTTGATGGAGAGCACATATCCGATGGTCACCCATCTGTTTTCTTTTACCACCAAATCTCTCGAAAGAACTTTCGTCTTGCTATTATTTTAAATACCTCATCGCTAAACAGTACTAAAATACATAAAAACATCCAAGTCTTCTGCAGAATTCGAACTCGAGCCCGACGATAAGGTAGCAAGCAGCGCTACCAATATGGCGGCAGAAATGCAGCTATGTGTTGCGTAATTTTATATTTGCTACTTATGTATTGATGTTGGAACTTAACTCATATACAAAATCAATACTTTTAACTTATCAATGAAAAAATAACAAAAGTCCCCCTCCTTATTCTATACCGACGCCAGTAAAGGTGCCCATTACGTAATGTTTTATATTTTTTTTTAAAGTCTTGATGCTTATTTCCATACAGGCGGTGAAGTATCTATTCATATAAATTTAAAATTTCAATTGCAAATAAATTAATTTCCAAAAGCGTTTAATATGAACTAAATTCCTTTACTTCAATGCGTAAGGAATTTTGGTCTTCATAATGTAAGTAGTAGGACATCCAGTTTGAAACTGAAAGATAAAAGAGCTCGAAATCATAGTAAAACTATCTCTGATTTTCTCACATTTCTCACTCTAAAAAACTTAAATAACTCTATAATGGCACTAAAATTTAAAAAAAAAAAAAAAAAAAAAAAAAAAAAAAAAAAAAAAAAAAAAGTGGAGGATGATAATCAGTCAGCACTTACACTTGACGATTTGGTCTCTTCCCTTTCTCTGACTTTTAAGCGGAGAAAAATGTAAAGAACTTTTGCCTTCACCATTTACATGTTTTCTTAGTGTAAATTGTAGTATATTCGACTAGTGGCCGGAAGATCTGAGTTTTTAATCCCAGCGTGGGTGTCCTTAATTTTTGTTCGTACTGTTTATAAAGCCAATAACCTTACAAAACTGAGCCAATGGAATGAGAATAGGGCAGATATTTCAAAACAGTAATAATAATAACAACAGTAATAATAACAATAGTAATAAAAAATAAAACTAAATAAATCAAAGTAATTAAAATTTTAATAAAATCTGAAATCACTCAGATTTTACATTACGCCCAAAGGGTGTTTTTTCAACGTTTTGTTTGTTACCTTTATTTATTAAATACGTTCTTCGCAATTAAAACATAAGATTCAGTTCAACAGCAATGCCGCAAAATAATTGTAAAATGAACATATCTTTAGAATTTCCCATACACAGTCTTGCGCGCTGGTGTTAAAAATGTTTTTTTTTTTTTTTTTTTTTTTCTTTCTCGTAGAGTGTTGGCCATTCTTCGCTTTGAAATCTTTGAGTTTCTTAATCAAAAATTCTTTAACGTCTGACAAAATATAAGGATAGAAATAATAATATAAGGATATAATATATAATAATATTAGGATAGAATAAATAAAATATAAGGATATAATATATAATAATATTAGGATAGAATAAATAAGGATATATATATAATCTTAGGATAGAATAAATAAAATATAAGGATATAATATATAATAAGGATATAAATATAATAAATAAATAAAATAAAATATGGGCATTTATTTATTACGGTTATTTAGGTTATGGCAAATTACGCGGAAGCTGTAATGCCTATGGGAAACGTTTTAAGAGAAACTAATACGTAATGCCTTATTTAACGAAATGATTTCCAGTTGCATTATTTATATAAAGACTACATAAGGCTATTTGCGCACGGAGGCATGCCTTCGCAGAGGAGTATTTAATGGAAACTGGCTTGTGCTTATATTACTACGCCGAAGACAGTATAGCGATTAGGGAAGCTGACTGTGATACCAAAGGGCCCTGGTTTGAATCCCGGAGAAGGCATGGTTGTAACTGTCTGACCCTTCGTAAGAGGCAAAGATGGCTCCCCTATTAAGAGTCTCCAAAATAAAGTGAACACCACTTCTGCCCTTAGTTGTGGCCATGCTGGAAGTCGGCCATTGGGTAAAATAAAAATAAATATTACACGTCGAAAAGACGATGAAAACTCTCATGTACACGTTCAACGGTGCTTGAACCCGCTTCCAACTTACAGTAGTTAATGATTTTACGCTCGGCCCCTAAAACATCTGAAAAGTTTCAAAACAAAAATTACGAATACAAGTTCAAACAGAAAGGTAGGTCTTAAGATTTTAATAAGCTCCATTTCTTCAGCAAAGCTTCAGTTATTTCCTTGAAAATCAACATTATTTCTCTTTCAGATTGTTGACTCTCTCTGTTTCTCTCTCTACCCATCTTTTTTCAATTTCATAGGAAATGAGTTTCGAATCAGATTCGTAAAAAGAAAATCATATTCTAGACAAATAAAAGTAAATAATGCTACAAAGTTACGATGTATACCAGCATATCAAAAAATGGAACAATCATCTAAAATTTGAAAATAATATCAATCCTCAGAATGTAATTTTTATTTGTTTTAAAGGAAAACATATTATTTTATTTGTTTCGAGGTAAAATAAAACTTCTCAGAGTACATGTTGTTATGTATAAATATATATATATATATATATATATATATATCAGCATATAATCTGAGAGAAGTAAGATAAGGATAAAAATAAGACAAGTATAAAGATAAGAATATATATTCTTTATATTTATGTGATGTAGGAGTATACGCTGGTAACACTCGTCTGCTTCTAAAATTCACTGTTTTCAGTCTATTCAAAAATCAATTTATTACTGCTGAAAATAATAATGTTTTGCT